ATCATGGAGAGACTGAAGGATGAGCAGGATTCAAATTACTACCGGAACAGGCTGGCTGGCTGGTTTCAGGGAGAACAAATCATATGAGGATCGAATCGCAAAGCAACATAACTCATTATCATATAACAGAGTATATAATGCCAGTCAAATCTCTACCTCAAATTCATCGATTTTGAAAAAGCCTTCGACAGCGTCGACCGATAAGTCATTCGACAACTACTTCAACACTACGGAATACCACAAATATTTATCAACCTCATTCAACAGCTATGTGAAGACACCACATGCCAAACAATTCACAATGGAAAGCTCACTGACGCCTATGAAGTGAAGAAAGGAGTAAGACAAGGTTGCCACCAACTATCACCCATGATCTTCATGATTGTGGTCGACTGGATTCGATCATGTGGCAAACCATGAGGAGCTGTGAGAAGATGGGCATACGTTCGACTGATGAAAAGATCCCACAAGATGTAGATTTCGCCGACGATGATTTATGTTCAATGTCTTGTCTCATACCCTCGAAGATGTACAGGCGAAAACTAACAAGTTGACAGAAGAGGCAGGGTAGGGCACGGCAGGACAGGTCAGGTCAGCGAAGACGGCAATTCCTTCAGGTGAATGTAGAGAAGACGGAGGTGATGAAGATACTCAAACAACAACAGCGTCAACGACAAGAGGCAGGCAACAATCAACATCAACAGGAGAAGTCTAGAGGAAGTAGTCTCTTTCACCTACCCACCTACCTAGGCAGCTTCATTTCAACTACAGGTGGCACAGGCACAGACGAGGATGTCGAAGCCAACCAGGATCAGAAAGATAACAAGACAGGCATTCATCAATGTGTGGAGATCAGTGTGGAGATCTACTTCACTGCACTCAGCATAAAGCGTGAACAAGATTGGGATTCTCAACACCAATATCAGTGAAGTCAGTGATGCTATGTGATGGTTCACAAAGTTGACGCGTTATGAAAAGCACTTCCAACGAAGTGCAGACATTGATCAACAGCTGCCACCTACACTCATTCACTCACTCACTCGATACTGAAGATCACATCAGATGAGATGAGATGAGATTGTGAGAAAGAATAAGTAACAGGGAAGTCTGGCAACGAAGCAAAAGGAAGGAAGGAAGGAAGGAAGAATCTATCGTCCAACAAGTGTGCAGTGGAGGAGAGTGGAGATGAATTGGGGATACACTGAGAAGGCTGACTGGTGACATTATGCGTCAGGTGTGGCCGTCGAGTGTAATCAAGAGGGGAAACTACGAGTTGGGCTTCGGTGGGGAGGGTGACATGGAGGAGATGATGTGAATAAGAAATGAGAGCTTGTGGACAGTCGTGGAGCTAGGTAGAAAAGACTGGAAAGAAGAGAGTGGAATTGAGGCGTGCTAGAAATCCAAGGGAAAAATATTAATAATGATAATAATAAGAGTTCTTATGCTAAACCACTTAAAGGTGACTACTTCTATATATCTTTTACCTACGTTACGTTAGTAAACACAATTCACTGTCACAATTAGCTACTAGATTTGCTCCTCTTCCTATGCCTCCTTTCTACTCTCATTCGACTGGATATAAAGTTGGTTGTTTGCTGTCTCTCTAGTGGTTCATCGTCACAATTAAGCTCACAAGAACTTGGGCAGTGCATTCAGCAACAAGACTCCCTTTCAATACTTGATAACTGCCTACTGTTTATATTTCTGATGGTGATATCTCGTGTGTTGTAACCAAAGGCTATCAAACAGTAACATTCAACTCATCCGTATATCATGTAGCTTATAGTTATGTATACTGGCTGAATATTGATAATCAAAATGAGAAATGTGTGTAGAAACCTCAATTTATTCTATCGAACATATCATTCACTTGTTAGGCATTTTAAATTTTTGAGATGTTTGTCTGCATCAGGAATGCCTGAGAACATTTCAAACACTTTCTTCAAATCTTGTACACTTCGCGCTTCTTTTGCTTTTCGATTTGTTGGTCATGGTGTGCTTGAAATGCATCGTTCACAAACATTCCTGTTTTGATCTTTTCAATACACGTCGTTATTTAATCGAATTACAAGCAACAGGCACTGAATCTATCGTATAAGGAACTGAACTCATTCTCTCCCTTTGTGAATCCATAACAACCGATAGTTGCGCTAATAAACTAAACAGGTTAGCCCAACATGATTAAACTTTCATAAGTTTTACTGATGGATACTATTACTGTTTTCAATTGGGTACTGTAACTGGAGCGGGTGTTTTGGAAATGTTAAAAAGGTGTGTCATGTGTCAGCTGGTAGTGGGTGTTTGTTTGAATGACAAAGTCACGGGAATACAACTATCGACTACAGGCCAAGAGGCCTGGAGTCAGGACCCGGGTGCCATCGTCACTTGCCACTTACACAAACACTCACGACCAGCTAACATACGATACAACTTTTACATATCCAAAAAAAGCGAATTGAACACATTCTCTCACTTAGTGGATCTATTAAAACCAATAGTTAAGCCAACGGACTAAATATGCATCTGTCTGCACAGAATATTTTAAAACGACTAATACTTCCCTAAGGAATTTAACTATGTACTTCGTGTGTTCCAATTGAACCTTGATCTTCACTTAATGCTGAACTTCAAACATATTCCACTTCTTTTGATAACCTACTAAATATGATCTGGGAATCTCTGTTTACAATCGATACAAACATCTTCAAGTTATGTCAGCTACTCAACCTTTCCAGATTTCTAGACACTTTAAAATGGATCTGTTTCTTCATTATCAGTAGTTTCAAAATCTTAGCCTATCGATGTAATCCATTACAATAGATTTCCTCCTTTTCATCCACAGTCTCATAGATAAGCCAATGGGTTTATAGATACGTCTAGGTGTGCCCTTACAAAGTGTATGAGGAAGACATTTACTTTAGTTTATCGATGCACACAAAACCGTTCAAAACCTAATGGGAATGATCTAACAGACAGACGTTAATTATGAGGATCAAAATCAAGGTAAATCGATATTACAGATAGAAATTACTCCAGAAGTAAGGAAAAAGACGCAGAGACAACAGCAACGGACATGCTTACACCACTACTGCATACGATTTGCAGAAAAGGAAGGAAAGGTACATGCTGAGTGGAAGCAAAACCACCTTTTCAAACTTCCAAAGAAGAGTGACTTATGTCTTTGCAAGAAATTGTGAGAAATCATGCTTCTGTCCACCACAAGCAAAATATTGAGCCGTATTATCCTGAAGAGACTGAAGAATGCGCTGGTTTCGAAATTACGACCGGAAGTAGCTGGCTGGCTTAAGTAAAAACTAACAATTTGAGGATCGAATTGCAACACTACACTACTCGTCATCATAGAACAGAGCATAGATAGTTGCAGTCAACTTCTCTACCTCAAATTCATCGACTTTGAAAAAGCCTTCCACAGCGTCGAACAAGAAGTAATTTGGCAGCTGCTTCAACACTACAGAGTCAGTGTCACAAAACCTTTATCAACTTCATTCAACAGCAGCTATATGACGACCAAATACGCCAAGTAATTCATAATGAAAACACGTTGACAGGTAAGACAAGGTTGCGGCCTAATATCACCGATGATCTTCCTCACTGTGGTGGACTTGATCATGCGAGAAAGTGCGAGGTTGGAGAAGATGGGAATACTCTGTTTGACCGATGGAAAATCCCTGGGAGATTTAAATTCCATCGATGATGATTTATGTGACTAATTTCTTACGTCGCACAAACTCCAAGATGTACAGATGTAAACTAACAAGATGACAGTAGACGCGAGTGAGAGAAAGTGACACTTCCTTCAGGTAAACATAGAGAAGACAGAGGTGATGGAAATACCCAACCAACAAGAACAACAATAACAAGCACCTCCCACTATCAGTGGGAGAAATGCAAACGAAGTTGTCTCTTTCACATACCTACCTACATACATACATATCTAACTAAGTACCTATCTAACTACCTACCTATCTAAACACCTACCTACCTAGGCAGCATCATCTCAATTACGGGTGGTGCCAGATGACGATATCAAAGCCAGCATTGAAAAGACAGCAACACATGCATGCCACACTTCATTAATCTGTCGAGATCAGTGTGGAGATTCACTGCACTCCAATGCACTACACTACGCTACACTCAGCATAAAGCGAGAATAACATCCACATTTTAAACACTAACGTCAATCAAGTCAATCAGTACTTCCATGTAATGATGGTTGACAGACTCGGCGAACTACAAAAACATTCACAAGAAACTGAAGACAAACATCAACACCTACCACCTAACCTCAATACATACTGAAGATCAGGTCAGATCAGACGTGACGTGATGTGATGAGATGAGAAGGGAGAAGGAAGAAGGAAGGAGGATGTGTGTGGTCTGCTAACGGACCAACCAACCAACCAACAAAGCAAGAAGCCATCATGCAACAAACAAGCAGAAGAAGAGAGTGCAGATGGATTGAATTAGGTTAGATTAGATTGGATTGGATTGGATTGAACATGGAGTGAGAAGACGGTTTGTGGACACCACTTGTCATGTCAGGCAGTGGAGTGGAAGCTGAATGGGAATGGATGATATTGGTGTGTGAGTGTGATATGTAGGAGATTGTGTGAGGAAGAAATGAAAGTTAATGGGTAGTTGTGCAGTCATGTTGAGAGGAGTGTAGAGAAGAGAGTGAGATGATGATGTGCTAGTGAAGCTTTATATTCCATTAGGAAGGAACCCAACGGACAAATAATAATGAACAGATAATTTTCCATATTACTATACAGTCACATCATGAATAACTCGTTTTCATTTCTTTTAGAGGTTCTGAGATTTATGAAACAGTAGTGTGTATGAAAGTAGTAGAAAGAAATAAAGTGTTCCTAATAAAACGTTATGAATTTTGTGCTTTGGTTTTTCTAATAATATCCTCTAAATATATTGATTTTCTATACTATCAATCTGATTTGTGTTTTTCTTACTGTTTTCCTTAGATATGGAATTGCAGAATGACTCCATGTTGTACTGTCCACCGTACCATGATGGTGCAACATGTTGGCCACCAATATTAGCAGGAAGAACAGCACATATGCCATGCCCATCTAGTTATGAAGGTCAAATGTATAACTCAAATGGTAAGTTGTGTATAAATCTAAACATACTGTCTTGTTGGTGTCTGCTTCATTCATAAAGTAGGCAGGTATGTATGAGATAGAGAAAGTTGAAAACTGATAAGGGCCACACATGAAGTATAAAGTATTCATAGGTATTATTTTTTATAAAATTGAAGCAGTAGTGATATATTTCTGTTCTAAACAAGTATTCTTGATAACTGATAGGATATTGTAAACCCAATATTATTCACAATGGGAAGCTCAGTCATACTTTTGAAGTGAAGACAGGAGTGAAACAAGGCTGTCTACTATCACCCATGATATTCCTGTTTGTAGTGGACTGGATCATGCAACAAACAGTGAGGAGCGAGAAGAGGGGGATACGCTGGACTGGAGGAAAAGAACACATAAGATTTAGATTTCGCCGACGACTTATGTCCAATATCACACAAACTTGAAGGTCTACAGTTGATTGAAGAGGCATGGCAGAGAAGACGGACCTTCAAGTGAACGTAGAGAACAAAGAGGTGATGAAGATACCCAACTAACAACAACAACAAGCTCCAATTACCATCAACGGGAGAAACTTAAAGGAAGTAGTCTCTTTCACCTACCTAAATGCTTAGGCAGCACTTTTTCAACTACAGGTGGCACAGGCCCAGACGAGGACGTCAAAACCAGGATCGGAAAGACAGTAAGACAGGAGTTCATTAGCCTGAAACCAGTGTCGAGATCTTCTGCGCTCAGCATGTGGAACAAGATTCGGATTTTCAACACCAACTTTTTTCGGTGCTTCTGTATCGCTCAGAGACTTGGCGCGTTACGAAAGACATTTCCAACACATTACAGACATTCATCAACAACTGCCACCTACGCTGGCTCGTTACTGAAGATCAGATGGTCAGAAAGAACAAGCAACAAGAAACTCTGGTCTGGCAACGAACCAACCAAGAACCTATCACTCAACAAATATGCAATGGAAAGAAGTGGAGATAGATTGGGAATACACTGACAAGGCCGATTGGGACATCATCCACCAGGCCAGGCCCTTGAGTGGAACCCAGATGGGATGCGACTAGTTGAGCATCGGAGGTGAAGGTGACATGGAGGAGATCGTGCGAGGAGGAAATGAGAGCTTATGGGCAGTAGTGGAGCCAGGTTCATTCGTTTGCAGAGAACAGAGTTTACTGGAGACGTGTTAGTGAAGCCCTATGTTCCAATAGGAACTCAAGGGATAAATAATAATAATAATAATAATAATGATAATAATAATAATATTCATTACCAATGGATATATGAAACATTAATAGAACTGATACTCGCAATGGGTTATGCAATTTTAAATGTCTTATAGAATATTGGTTTACCTGAATGTTAAAATAAGGAATATATATGTGTTCAGGGATCATCACAGACCGCATTCAACCATTTCATATCAAATACGATGTATAATAGTGTAACATCTGTAAACTTGCTACTCAATGTAAGCGAATGGGTGGACAGTTGTACAACAGTTACCTTCCATTGGTGGATCAATTCACTCCACATCGTTTCAGTCAGATAAATAGGAACACTGTTAAAGGCCTTCGACAGCGTCGACCGATAAGTCATTCGACAACTACTTCAACACTACGGAATACCACAAATATTTATCAACCTCATTCAACAGCTATGTGAAGACACCACATGCCAAACAATTCACAATGGAAAGCTCACTGACGCCTATGAAGTGAAGAAAGGAGTAAGACAAGGTTGCCACCAACTATCACCCATGATCTTCATGATTGTGGTCGACTGGATTCGATCATGTGGCAAACCATGAGGAGCTGTGAGAAGATGGGCATACGTTCGACTGATGAAAAGATCCCACAAGATGTAGATTTCGCCGACGATGATTTATGTTCAATGTCTTGTCTCATACCCTCGAAGATGTACAGGCGAAAACTAACAAGTTGACAGAAGAGGCAGGGTAGGGCACGGCAGGGCAGGACAGGTCAGTGAAGATGGCAATTCCTTCAGATGAATGTAGAGAAGACGGAGGTGATGAAGATACTCAAACAACAACAGCGTCAACGACAAGAGGCAGGCAACAATCAACATCAACAGGAGAAGTCTAGAGGAAGTAGTCTCTTTCACCTACCCACCTACCTAGGCAGCTTCATTTCAACTACAGGTGGCACAGGCACAGACGAGGATGTCAAAGCCAATCAGGATCGGAAAGATAACAAGACAGGCATTCATTAATGTGTGGAGATCTACTTCACTGCACTCAACATAAAGCGTGAACAAGATTGGGATTCTCAACACCAATATCAGTGAAGTCAGTGATGCTATGTGATGGTTCACAAAGTTGACGCGTTATGAAAAGCACTTCCAACGAAGTGCAGACATTGATCAACAGCTGCCACCTACACTCATTCACTCACTCACTCGATACTGAAGATCACATCAGATGAGATGAGATGAGATTGTGAGAAAGAATAAGTAACAGGGAAGTCTGGCAACGAAGCAAGGAAGGAAGGAAGGAAGGAAGAATCTATCGTCCAACAAGTGTGCAGTGGAGGAGAGTGGAGATGAATTGGAGATACACTGAGAAGGCTGACTGGTGACATCATGCGTCAGGTGTGGCCGTCGAGTGTAATCAAGAGGGGAAACTACGAGTTGGGCTTCGGTGGGGAGGGTGACATGGAGGAGATGATGTGAATAAGAAATGAGAGCTTGTGGACAGTTGTGGAGCTAGGTAGAAAAGACTGGAGAGGAGAGAGTGAGATAGAGATGTGCTACTGAAGCCTGTCTAAAGGTACCTGGAAATACCTGCGTTATCGCCTAGACCACTGAGGCTAAATGGCGATGACTACACGTTTTGAATCTCAGTGAGTACAACATTGCTCACTAGGCTGCAGATACATCTGGCTGATAAGTTTCAAACAGGAGAGAATCCGCTTCCTGGATATCACTGCCAACCACAACTACATAACAGCATATATTCCAACATAGCTTGATCAATTCGATTGAGTATAATAAAAGAAAATCATAAATATCAACAAATGAAATAGTGTCAGCATTTATGAAAAGGGTTCGAACTCACGACGAATGGATAGAAGATCAAGTACTATGATCTCGCCTGGTTAACTAGTTCACTAGTTACTAGCCGGTCCTAAGCCCACACAAAAAAGGAAGGTTGGGTGTAGGGCTAGCAACCCTACGCCGTAAAACAAATCTAACCGCTAAAGAAACTTCAAACCACAAACAAAATATAAAAAATAAAAATAAAATTATTCCTTGCTGGAATCGGAGAGGCGAAATGACGCCAGTTGGTGAAAGCCTGTCTTCAGGAAGCCAATTGGCCGATGTGTCTTCTCTCGATGAAAGCGAAAGTAAACGTGGGGACATGGAATGTCCCTACGATGTTTGAAACCATCAAGGCAGCCAAGATTGCAAAAGAGGTGAGAAGGTATCACATTGAAGTGCTTGGGATTTGTGAAAGCAGATGGAATGGGAGTGGACTCTCCAAACTGTCAACTGCAGAATCAATAATCTACTCCGATGTTGTCACCCAGACGACAACCACGAGCACACTGAGTTTTGGAGTGGCTATCATGATGTCCTCAAGAGCATCGAACGCCCTCATGCAGTTGGAACCAATCTCCTCCAGGATCATGACAGCAAGATTCAACTCAAAAGGAAGGAAGGTCACAATCATACAACACTATGCACCTACAAATAATGCAGATCAAGAGAAGAAGGAGGAATTCTACAGACAACTTCAATCAACACTGGACAAGCACCTCAGTTGGCGATATCAAAATTCTAATGGGCGACATGAATGTCAAACTGGGAGCGGACAACACAGGAAGAGAACTAACTATTGGGTCGAGAGGCGCTAGGTGAGGTGATGAACGAGAATGGAGAATTGTTTGCAGAATTCTGTGCATTCAACGATTTGGTGAGTGGAGTCAGGCAGTGTGTTCAAGCACAAAGATATCCACAAAGTGACATGAATTTCACCAGACACCAGGACACACTAAAAATCAAATCGACTTTATCTCAGTCTCAACAAAATGGAGATTCAGTCTACTTGACACAAGGTCAAGAAGAGGAGCAGATGTAGGTTCAGACCACTATCTAGTGCAAGGAACCTTCCAAATCAAGTTAAAAGCCTTCAAGGAAGCTGGTGATAGACCTCAATTCAAGTACAACACTCGGAAACTGAAGAATGAAATTACAAGGGAGATCTTCACGGCAGCCATCAAGACAAAATGGGAGACAGCGAGCACCATCCTGAAGAAACCTGTGTGGATGAACACTGGAAGTCTTTGAAAGCTATGTGGAAAGAAACCTGCACAACAGTATTAGGAAGGAAGAAGGTGGAACACAAGGAATGGATCTCGACGGATACCTGGAAGCTGATAGAGTAGGGAGAGGAGGATGGTGAAGCAGAAGATGAACCAGTGCAAGGATGAACGACGAGAAGAGGAACCGAGCACAATATATAACACACTTGGACAAAGAAGTAAAGAAGAGTGCATGGAAAGACAAAAGAGACTTCTATGAAACACTGGCAAGTGAAGCAGAACAGGCTGCAGGTAAGAGAGACAGAGATCTGACAACATTGTATCAAATAACCAGGTTGCTATCCGGGAAGAGATCAACACAGATGAAACCAATAAAAGATGATGACGGAAATTTAATTACGAAAGAAGAGAAACAAAGGAAACGATGGGCCGACCACTTCAAGAAGCTCTTGAATCGACCACCACCACCATCACCACCTGCACTTCGTCCAGAAATACCACCTGCAGCCGCTGAACTACAAGTGAACATAAATCCTCCAACAAAAGTGGAAGTCCTGAACGCCATAAAGCTACTGAAATGCGGGAAAGCAGCAGGACCAGATGGAATCACGCCAGAAGCACTGAGAACAGACGCAGAGACAACAGCGGACATGCTCACACCACACCACTTTTGCAGAATTTGTGGAAGGAAGAGAAGGTACCTGGTCATTGATTGGAAGAAGGGTT